GAGTAAGGGCTGATTATCTGAAAAATCTAATAATAAAATGTTTAGGCCTAATATAAGAATATAATAGAATGTGTATAAGTTTTAGAATGTACAAAAATGTCTGGAAGCTGTGTGTTATGGATGTACCCACAGAAGAGAATATGTCTCATTTCACAAGTAAACAAATTTGATCTTATTTACCTTGATGTGGATGTGACCTGACCAGAACTCAAGCTAATAATAACTGTTTAAAACTAAAATAAGCTAATAAAGCAGATGCAATCATTGTTATTATATTAGCTAATATATACTAGCTGTATACTAACTACTTCTGTAAGATACAGTCTATATTAAGTATTTTATAAAGACTAAATTTCTGAAATGTATTTTTTAACCTCAGCTATAGATGAGATTCTGATCACTGCAATTAGCTGCAACTAGAGCTTACATAAACAGTTTTACAAATTAACTAACTAGTTGAAGTTATAATTATTCAATTAGCTAAAAAGTCTTGAAATTATTGGAATCAAGTCATTATTGACTGACTGCAGGTCAACTTTAGATCATCATTAGTTGTAACCAATACATTTTCCTTATAAAACACATAGCTGTTTTACATGATTGTTGTATGAAATTAACATTAATTATGAATTATATTATTTATTGTAATAAAAATGTAATTCTGACAGATGGAGTTGGGCTTGCTGTTAATCCAATAGTTTTGTCAGCTGTGAGACATTGACCTCTTCAGGCACCATCTTAGCTTCTCCAGGATGTCACAGATGTAAACAATGAGTGAACGGCAGAGCTCACTATAGTGTCTTATAGACCTATAATCAGAATCAGCTTTATTGGCCAACTATGTTGCTCTCTATGGTTCTAATTTATCTGAGATGCATAAATGCCTGATGGTAATCCAATAAGGTAAATGCCTCAGTGACTCCAAGAGCTACACCAGCATAAGGGGGGACACTCAGCTGGACAGATCTTAGGGAAGCACAATCTATTTCTTGTAAGTAGGACACAGCAGACAGTAAAAACCCAATCCTATGAAGAAAATACTAAATAAAAATAACAACAACAAATTTTAAGGAGCACAATGTGTACGCATGACGCCCCCTTAATATTCCCGTCTGCCCCCTTAAGTATGCATTCCTAGAARCGGCACTGACACAAACACACCGCCCCTCTACTGACTCCCACGGCAGTAAATCACCAAGCCAATTAAGAGGACACTAAAAAAGAGATTACTCTGGAACCTTTTCATCTTACTCAACTGTTACAATTACCAGCTCACACCAGGGGGAAATGGTTTTTATAAATCACACTTTTTGCAGGTTCATGCTTGATAGAAGGGCACTCAAGTGTTTAATGTAACAGGCTTTGGGACGGTCTGTGCACAAGAAGTGAAGGTCAAGTGTTTCTGCTCCTCTGTTGATTTTTTTTCTCCTTCTTAATGTCGGGTTTCTGCAAAACTCAGCCAATCAAATTTAGAGCTTTCTAATGCCATGTTTTAAAGAATCTTAATGGCACTGACATGAGCATTGGGTTGGGATGTCCCGATACCAGTTTTTCTTAAATCCAGTACAAGTAAAATTCCCAGTTTGAAGACTTGCAGATACTGAGCACTGATACAGTGTACTTACTGAGTTAGACCTTAAACATTACACAATGACTTTAAAAACACACTTATTTGACTTAGAAGGTGTCTTTCCTTCCTTAAAGACCTATAGCCCCTCTGACTGGATCAAATCAAATATACAGCAGGATATGTATGGTTTTCTTTCAACTTGTACAGATTTCTTAAACAAGGAACTGAATTTTTTTCTCTTGGAACATAAACTGCAGCACATTCAGTAAAGTATCGATAACAGTATTTAGACTGGTATTGGTATCCGTCCTGAGTATCTGGGTATTTTGTACGTGTACGTGTACTTGTAAAAATGCTGATGCACCAGCAGTGAGAATTTATTTTTCTTTCTTTTGTTGAAACTATTTTTTAACAATAGCCCCTGGGAAACCCCTAATCTAGAAGTCTGGAAGTTTATTACAACCTAGACATGTAGTTATATCATCATGACCGGCTCCAGCTCTAATCACGTMCTTCCATATATACATACCCCTGTGGAGAATACACAGTAAACATGCACAAAGGTTTGTGCTCATTAGTTGTACCTGTTGAGTGCTGCGGAAGGTATAGATGTGGTAGATGATGGGAATGAGCTTTCTGCTGTTTTCCGGTGTCAGGATGTCACTGTTGATTTTGAGGTTCTTCACCATCAGGTCCACCAGGAAAACACCCAGGTCCAGAGTTGTGACGAACGACCAGTTTGACTTGCCCGTGTGCAGGAAGGATCCTAAACCCTGCTCCACCTCCAGCTGATACCACTTCTCCCTGGGAAGGATGTTAGATACCTGGAACACGACACAACAGCATTAAATAACAGCAGTTTATAAATATTCCTCTGTCCTCTGAACTCGTTGTCCTCATTCCATCTACCTCCATGTATACTAAAAGTATATACAGGTGCTGGTCATAAAATTAGAATATCATGAAAAAGTAGATTTATTTCAGTAATTC